GGGACGGGTTCGGGTATTACCCACGGGTACGGGTATATTTGCCATCCCTATATATATATATATATATAATTGAAAGGAATGATTTTATAAAAAAATAAGGATGATAGAGTAAGTCAATTCTTCTAAAACAATACGGGATGAGTTGATCATTAAAGAAATAAAACAAGATGATTAGTCCATCAAAGAAAATCGATTGAAAAATGTAACTCATTCTATTTAAGAGTGATTTAGTAAGTTTGTTTACTGAGTTGTTGACCCACTTTTAGTTCATCTAAACTTTTTTTAAAAAAATTAATTAAAATATTTTAATATATATTATACTTTAACATATAATTTTATTATTTATAAAACTGATTAGAAATGTTATATTTTTATGCAAAGAGCCAAAGTAATATATATTTTTATTTAAAAAAATACATTATACAGTAAAAACAATGAAAATGATAGAAGTTATGTCATTCTTAACTATTAGTAAAACTAGTAAACAACGTATGGGGAGGGATGATTATTGATTACATCTAATTCATTTTTACCAAATCTCCTTTAGGCTGAATTATTATCTTTTGGTTTGAAGCCATATAATTTTTGGTTGAATTGGAAAAACTTGATTAATTGATAGTGTTGACCATTTTCTTTAATTCAAATCCATCTAATAATATTATTACTAAAAATAGCCATAGTGGCATCAACCATCAAAGTGGCCAACTTGAAATTTTATAATTATATGTAAAAGAATTTGTACCTATAGACAATTTTTCACAATTTACATGTGAAAAAACCCAAAATATCATCATATAATTAAAAGGGGTGAGGATAAAAAAACATATTTCACCGCCTACCTAACACTAACACTACCAAACTCTCATTTGCAATGCCATTTAACTAGCCAGATAGATCCAGCCCTACACGTGGCATCACCGGAACCATTGGTCTCTTCATTGAACCCCAGCCCAAAGTCAATTCCAGCTCCATTTCGCCATCGGCGGCTCGAACCGGCCCCACACTCCCCACGGAGCCGCTATCGGCTTCACTCGTCCGAGTCACCCCAGACCCCGATTCACGACTCACCGAGCCGTTCAACTCGCTTCGAGCCAACTCAGCCACGGCTGAGTCCACCGTGGGCTTCAAGGCGCGGCGCTTGAACTTGCTGGTCCGAGACTTCACCTTGTGGAGCCCGTCAGAGCCGCACGATTTATCGCCCTTTGCCACGTGGCGAATATCGCAAGCCTCAAGCTGCAGGCTCGCCGCGCCGTCCAACGGAGCCTGCTGAATCGGCGCGCCGCTAAGAACGGCTTTGACCGCTTCTTCACAGAGGTGCCAATTCCCGCTCGAGAGCAACCCGGTCGAGCCGAAAATCGGGTTCACCATCCGACCGCAAGCTTCGTAGAGCAAAGATTTGAAAACCGCTGAAAAGAACAAAATTGAAGCTCCAACGTTAGTAACTCAAGGATACAAATATTACAAATAATAAAAAAAAAATCATCATTTTGGTGGAAAATGGGGAATGAATTTAATTAGAATATACATTATCTGTCCTCCAATTATTTTATTATTAAAAATTATCATCTTTTATAATAATATTTGAAGAGTTTAATTAATATATGTTTTTAGTATAAAATATCTTTATTCAGACGTTTATTAAGATATGATTATTTTATTATGCTATTTAATTCATTAACATATTATAAAGATGAGATAAATTCTTATTGAATGTTAGCATAAAATTCGATCCAGACAATATATAAATTAAGAGTTTAATATATATAATATAAATTCTATGTATTATGGGCATAAAAATTATAAAATGAATTAAGATATGAGTTGTGATTTTTTTTGGTTGGTCTCTAGAATATCCAGATTAATATTCTGGTTATTAGAGGCACTTTAAAGGGTGAGATAGTGACTGCATATACAAGATAAGATTCAAATTCCTGACCTTGCTTAAACGTGGATCAATTTTTACCGCTGAACCACACGCTTGAGATTAGATATGAATTGTGATTAGGTAAGGGATAAGTAAAATTATATAATATATAAACCTGGTTGGAGATGAGTGGAAGCGGTGGTGAGGAGGTTGAGGAGGCCTTGGCGGCCATAGAACTTGGCGAGGAAGAGGGTGGCGTTGGATTGAGAGTTGGGTGAATGGATCCATTGGAGGGAGGTGCGAATGGGGCACTCCGGTGTGCACCCACGGCGGAGGACGCGGCAGCCATTGCAACTCAAGCGCATGTTGATTCAATTAGTGACGTGTTTGGGAGTTATGGTTTTATAGAAGTGAGAGTGAGGAGGACGTGGGTTTGGAATAGAGCGCAGCTGTTTTCGCCTCCAACAAAATAGCAGTTTTCGGAACGTCAACTGTGGTTTTCTCTTGAGGGGCTGGGTGGGTCCCACATCGCCTCAACCCGCAACCGCAACCAATTCATATACATTCACACCGCCTTCCTCTTTTTTCTGGGACTCCCTACACAGCTGTTGCTAAATTCACACTATATTTTTACTCTTAATTATTTCTAAATTATGTTAAAATCTAGCAACTTTTTTTAAAATGGTGATCGTAAAATTAATATGCTTTCAATTTATATTGTTTATTTGTATTTATTTTTGGAATATGAAAAATTAGGTGAGTTAGGCTTTGAAAACTCACTTGAGTTAGTACACACGTGTTTTTTTACAAAAAAAAAACTACTTTTATGATACTCATCTTTGTAAGGATTTTCACATAAAGCATTGGCACATTTAAAATACATAATTTCCTTTTGTCATGAAAATAGTATTTTTTATAATTATGAATATTGTTTGATATATTTAATTTGATAGATTATTGATTAAAGGGTAAAACTAAAGGGAGTGTGGGCGGTGGTGGTGAGGGGAGCCAATGGTTTTGGGTTTGGCCCCCACTTGGTTTGGGCTTATCCCACACGTCCTGTAAACGCGGAGACTGCATCTCTCATCACGTCACCATTTCCAACACCCACACACCCTTTTTCCTTCTTCTTTCCCTCCTTCCCTACCCAACCTTCTCTTCACACCACATAATATTATTATTGCTTTTTCTTTTTTATTCTTCTTTTTTCCTTTTGTTTATCAGAATTATTATAGCATTGATGAAAATTAATCCTCACACCACCAGTGTATCAGTCTATCATTGCTTATTGAAGATATTTTTTTTTAAATAAATAGAAAAGGAGAAAGAAATTGGTGTTTGTACATCATAGTTAGATATGTCTTTGCTTTGCTATTAAATGAATGGAGGAGTGTTGAACTAAATGCAGGGAAGAAATACGGATTTATTTGGTGTTGTATTATCAGAAGATGTTATAGGTGAGGCTTTTAGTAGACACAAGTGTCTCTCTACTTTTATATGATAAATTATTACAATGTCATTTTATTTTATTTTTGTTTTTTTATTAACTATGTTTTTAATTTTAAAATATTTCCAAATTAATTCTTAATTTTTATAATGATTAAATTAAGAGTTAATGACTTATACACTGTCAGTATAAATTTTTTTTATACTGACAATTAGTTATATCTTTTAATTGTGTCATGTCACTATTAAAAGTAAATGTATTTATAGTGACATAGCAGAAATAAAAGATATAATTAGTTGTTAGTATAAAAAAGTTTTACATTGACAAACATCTCTAATCTTTACATTTCAATATATACACGTGTTTTTAGTTTCTGAAAAAAGATAACGACTGACAAACATTTTGATAAATATAAATATTAACAATATATTAAAATTTTATAAGAATCAAAATTTAAAATATTTTGAGAGAATAAAAATATATTATATGTTATCCTAATCTCTTTTTGTCACACCAATTATTTTATGATCATTGTTTTGTACTACCTTTTGATTTAAGAAAGTACCGATACCTTTTGTTATTGAAATAATAAATATGGTTATTTGTACATTAAAATCACATCATACACAAGTTAGGATTTAATTTTAACTGTTTTAATTTATATTTTACAATTGCAAAAATTCCATTGCCGATATTTAATTCATTTTTTTAAAATTCAATATTAAACAAAAAACATATGTTAATGTAAATGGAATAAACATTATAAAAAATTGTCATGGGATAATACACACCTTATAGTAAATGCAAATTGGATTTTGATTATAGACTATGTTTCCGAAAAAATTTAATATACTTAATAACATAATATTTATTATTAAAAATTATTTTTATTTATAATATAAATATAATATATATTAATATTTTGTTAAAAAAATATAAATATAAACTATAATGACATGCAATATATGTTATTAAATCTTACTTAAAATCAATAATAAAATTATATGTAATTATATATCAAATAAATTTATACTTTAATTATATTTATAGTGACATTTTTCATATCATTATATGTAATATTTTTTATAATGAAAAAAAATCTTAAAGAGAGATTTAACAATTATAAAGTAACAAAATCCTAAACAATAAATCATTATAAATATCTTCTTATTATGTGTTTATTATTTATTGTCTATTCAATTTATCTTATATTATTATACACCCTCTTTTCACTTTTTTCCCATAAGCATTAAATAATACACCCTACTCTTGAAAATAATAGTTAACTAGTGTCGCACGGGTGGATCTCGAATAAATATCCAAATTCAATCAACGATAAAGAAGTACGTATTAAGAATTCTTTAATGTTATGATAAATGAATTTGTAATTCACTCATAGTTAGTCTTTAAGAATGTAACCATACACATATTAAAACTTGATGCGAAAAACTTCATCTAATTTGAGTTAGAACAGGGTACGTGTCTGTCTCTCTATTTTCACTTCACTTCACGTGTCTTCCCTACCACATTAGAATTTATGTTCAATCGTGTTCCAATCTGAGTTTACATTTAGACTATTCAAAATTTAATATAGTTGCTGCTATTGTACATTTCTTCAGACTTTGTTTTCTTATTCGGAAATGTCACATTCCATCAACACCATGACAAACTAAATATGAGCAGAGAAGGACTTGTGTCAGTTGAATCATGATCGTACCATAAAATCTTCTTAATTAATTAATTAATTAACATGTCCTTGAATTGGCAACTGAGAGAAAGATTCAACAACAAGCTATTTATTTATTATTATTGTTATTATTAATTTTGTGAAATTTATTTTAACTATGCAAACCTATAAATGCTATAAGAAAAATAATATGCTTTTAGCATCACATATTGTAAATAAGACAGTATACAATAGAGTCTTGTTATATTTTCAACATGATATTAATAGATGGAGAAAGAAGAACCCTTCTTAAAGATGAGGTTAAATATTTCATACAAAACTAAAATAATAGATTTCCGCGTTATCGGCGTACAATAGCTTATATAAAGGGAGGCTTGTTTTAATGTATGATATGACATAAAGTTATTTGAGGTTAATTAATGATATTAAGTTTAGATTTAAATATAAAATTATATTTAATTTTTTTAATTTTTTTTATTATTTATAATGATTTTATTAACTTAAACAGAATTATTTTAAATAAAGAATACACATAATTTATTTAAAAAGAATAACATGTATTTTAAAGAATCACATTTTTAAGGATATTATTAGTGTGTAATCTATTCATTTTTCTTGAATATTACTAAAACATTATTTATTGAATCTAAAATAATGTCAATCAACATAATTATCACTAATATCATTTGATTTTATGAATATTTTTTAAATAAAATTTAAAATTATGATATCATTAATTAAAATTAATTCATTTAATTTTGTTAACTTTGATAAATTTGTTAGGCTTAAATATGTTTTTAGTCCCTCAAATTTAGGGTAAATTTATTTTTGGCCCCTCAAATTTAAAATTATTATTTTTAGTCCCTGTAATTTCAAAAAATCTTATTTTAGTCTTTATATTCAAATTTTGTTAAAAAATTTATCAAATATTATTGTATAAAATCTACCTATTCGTGTTTCTATTAGAAAAAATATTATATTAAATCCAAGTGATATTGCATAACTATCTTAATTAGCTATTTTTAAATATGTTATTAGTAATTTAAGAGGCTATAACAAAATTTTTAAAAATTATAAAAACTAAAAATAATAATTTTAAATTTGAAAAACAAAAATAAATTTATCTTAAATTTAAGAAACTAAAAACATATTTAAGAGAATTTGTTATATATGAAAACAGAAGTACTTGTTAAAAATTTGGCAGGGATTAGAAAAAATCTGAAGGTGTTGGCAGGAAATTGATCGGGTCTCTGAGTCAACTTTCCGAACCGGCCTATGACACCCTACTCTTAGACCATTGGTCACCACTTAATTCTCTCGCTTCTACTAAGAGAAATTCCAATGTCACGAGCAAAGGATTTGAAAATTATTTTAGATAAATGTGTTTTAAAATACATATCACGTGAAAATATTATATTTGACCATCATCATATTTTCGGTTACTTGAATAGAATGTTTGATTGAAAAAACTATTGGTACCAAATTCTGTTTTTATGAATAAAAAATTATATATATTTACCTGTATATAACGTTATTTATTAGTACTTTTTGTACAAGTAATCTTGAACTTTATAGAACTTATTTTGAGTTCTTATCTCATCTTTTATGGTTCTTTTTTATTTAAAAATACTTTTTACTCCATTTTGTGGGTTCCTTATCCCTTCTTGCCTCTCATTTTTTCGTTAATTTTCTATGCTAATTAATCTGACAAGAACTTGAGTCTTGTGTTCTTATACAAAAATTGGTTCTACACAAAATCCACGGCATTTGTATCCAATACAATAAAATAATAATAATAATAGTTAGTTAAGAATCCAAATAAGAAATTTGTATTAGAGATGGGATTAGATCTCCTTTATACTACATCATGTACTGAAAAGGAGAAAAATATAAGACAAAATAAGTCATTTTTGGAGGTTAAAAAAATTTAATTTTGGAAGTACTTTTAAAATTCAAAGTCGACCCATTATAGAGTCTGTTTTAAAGTCAAAGGAATTTAATTTCTAGAAGTATTTTTTATAAAAGGCCCAAAAATAATTAGGAGGGTGATGTTCCTATTTTAGACTTAAAAATATTTTGCTTACAAATATCACTTTAAAAAAAATAATTAAAAATTGATTATTTAAGAAATAAAATTAGTTTAATAAGATGAAATCAACATTTTTCTTCCACAATAAAATACCCATTATCTTATCATGAATCTCTCTTTCTAATAAAAAAAAAAAAACCCGCATTTGTCTATACATTATTTCCAGTAATTAACATTTTTTCTTCTTCTTCTCAGATTTGTATTGTTTCATCATCACACAAAGTTATTTCTTGTTGATGACATTCTAGTCCAAGATTTTTTGGGCCAAACTGGGCTTTGGAAAGACTAAGGTGGCAGTTGAAACGACTACGTATGACACAACGTCCCTATCAGGTTTTGACACGTGGCACACACCGACGAAGCCATTTTTGGCGGTTCATTCATGCAATGGTGTTCTTCCACTACAACGATCGTGACGCAGCGAGTGTTGCTCTCCTATTTTCTAGCAGCCCCTTTTCCTTCTCTCTCACAAATCCAATCATTAAGTTATTTCAAATATAACTAACTATATTTACGTAGAGAAAAAGATCCAATTCATGTTTACCTGAGTTTACTCGAATCTCGCCGCAACAAGAACATTGGATCAAAATGGTGTCATCTTCATCAAGGTTGGATAGATTCTCTTGCTTTGGTGCTTTTCACATTCGTTTCGTAATTTTGATATCCAAAGTTAAAAGAAGCTTGATTAAATTCTCTGGTGCTTTTCACCGTATTGTCAATGGATGATGTAGCAATTTTGATTCTTTGTTCTAGTGTTATGGATCCACATATGTTCGGATTTGAAGTGATGTTCATGTTTTGTTTGCTATGTGATCTTGGAATATCAATCGTGTCATATATGAAGCTGCAATCTTTACGACTTCTCTGAGCTCTTCTAGGATGATTCTAAATATTATGCATAAATTTTCTTCTTTGTAATAATTTTTATAAGAGAAATGTTGTAGATACTTTTTGTTTTTAAATATACTCTATATAGTTGAATCGATCTCTAATAAGTCAATTCGATCATTTGGTTGCTTTTCCAATGAGTGTGTAAACTTTTCAAAGCCATTAACAAAGAGTGTCAATGCCATGATTCTTACTTGGGGGAAAACCTAGATTGAGTTTCTTAAGTATCATTTCTCATTAAAATTGGAGTTTCATCTCGATAATTCATATAATAAATATTGGTTTTGTTGAGGTAAAGTGATATTAGTTTCAGGTTTGAAGAGTTTCTTGGATGATGTGATCCAATGGTAAGTTTTACGAAGCATCTCTCCATGGACAGATGAAGTGAAGTGTCCCTTGAGAAATCAGTTAGAGATGAATCCATCATCAAATAATCACACAATAGAACCCAGAGACCTTGGCAATGCAAGTGCCAACGTGAGTAGAGTTAACTCACCCCAAAGGAAGGTCTTGTCTGAGTCAAAGTCTCAACGTGTTTTTCATACCCCGGTTATGGCAGGTATAATTAATAGATTTTAACTTAGCCTCTATTGTTTGTGATCATGATTCATGAGATACCCATAAACCTGCAATATTTTTCACCACTTTGGACATGGTTATATTGGTTTTTAACTGAATCAAATGGCATCGTGAGATCTATGTAATTGAAACTCACAGTAAGATAAGACTATTGTTGTTATTGTATTGACGTAGTTAGGGACCGATCTTTAATTTACTAATAAAAAAGATGATAGTCTTTTTTGGGTACATTTTTTTTTTCATTTTATCTTTTTAATTACTTTTTAACTTATTCTACAAACTATTCATATTCTTTGAATAATTATCTATTATTTATATAATTTTTTATTTTATTTTATTTATTTATTTTTAAAATAGAAAGATATGGAGTGTCTCTTTTCCTTTTCCTACTAATATATATAAAGTTTACCTACTAATATATATAAAGTTTACATAGATGCGTGTGGGTCCTTATTTTTATTAAGAAATTGAATATAAAATTAGGTATTATTTTTTAATAAAATACTTTATTCAGTTTTTTAAAATTTTTGTTGTAAAGATAATTAATGATATATATTTTGAAAATCTTTTATTTATAGTCTTCATCAAATAAATAATTGCATTTTTTATCTCCTTTTTAGACTAAATCTTTGAGTATCATTAACTTTTCCTTTTAACAGTGTTTTTTTTTTTTTTTATATCTATTATTGCAGTTTTAAAAGATATAAGTGATTGTATTTACAATCAAATAACTTTATTAGTGTTCCTTTTATATTGATTTTATTATAAATTAATTTAAGAAATAAATGTTATTTATTAACACTTATTGATGGGGTAGACTTATGAACGCTATATTTTATATAACACAATAACAAATAAGATTTTCATAAAAAAATAAGATCAATGTGCAAATCAATTTTAATTATAAATTTACCAAAGTTTTTAGTATGTAAAATTTACCAAAGTCTTTAAAAATATTTTTAATTTACTGTCGTCTGTGTAAATATATATATATATATATATATATATAATATGTTTCTTTGATTGTTTTAGAACACATAATTAAAAACATTTTGTATAAAATTAATAGTTATATATTTATTAAATGATAATTTTCCTTTACAAAAAAAAAATTTAAATAATATTTAATTTTATTATTGGTCTCTCCAAAATTAGAAGTATAGCTCCGTCCCTAGACATGGTCACATTAACAAGGAAATTTATTGATACCATGTCAACATATTCGCCTAATAAAGTAACATGTCAAGGGCTCTTCAGGACACAAGGGGTTTAAAGAGAAACTTAGGCATACTATGAGGCTAAAAGCAAAATTCATAGTAAAGCAAACAAAAAACTAGGATCATTGATTACTCTAAAAAAACAAAAACTAGGAACATTGACATGTGACTTACAAAGTTTCTAATAACTTGCTATGTTTTTGTGTGTATGTATCAATTGGGCTGCAAACTTTCTTATTACTGGCATGGAAAAAAATATATCATACATTCACACACACACATATTATATATATATATATATATAATTAGATGTTTATGTGAAAGATATTTATACTATGTTATAGGAAATTTAAATATATCTTGTATTTTGTGATTCTTTAGATCAATTAGATGATATTTTGTCTTTAAGATACTTCATGTATTTTTGTAGATCCATCAACAACTACATTAATAAGTCAAGTAGGTCATAAAATTCCTGAGATGTTCCGACTGAAACAAGGAAGCTATGCAGATCTTCCTTCTGCAAAAATTTCAGAACTGATGAAATCAACCAGTTTAGATGTAAGATCTTATATTATTTTTCATCGCATTCAAATTTGCACAATTTATACACATAATTTTATAGTTCTGTGTATCACTGATTTGTTTCAGCATTTATTAATGCAGAATGCTCCTACTCAATCGCTTTTGAGTGTTGTGAATGGCATTTTGGAAGAAAGTGTTGAAAAAAGAAATGGAGAAATACCCCAAGTATGGCCTTGGAGGCTTTGGTGTTACATATAAATCATAAATGCATTCATGAAAGCACATGTATAAGTCCATGCAACATGTCTTGCACATGTATAATAATGTTTGGAGTGTATTATCTAACAATGATCTTTGCATCTCAGCGTGTGGCTTGCTTATTAAGAAAAGTTGTCCAGGAGATTGAGCGACGTATATCCACTCAAGCAGAACATTTAAGAACTGTATGTCGTTCGCAGTTACATTATTTTCAAAAGCTATATAACCTTTTTGTTCTTCTCAATTGGTTTTGTCACACTATTTTCTTATTATTTTCCTATAGCAAAACAATCTTTTTAAGGCTCGTGAAGAAAAATATCACTCAAGAATCAAAGTACTTGAGGCACTTGCATCTAGAACCAGGGACGAGAGTGAGGTATCCCAAATAGTTCTAGTTACATCATGTTACAGATGAAAGAATACAAATTACAAACTTTTATGTTTATCATAGGAAACTTTTGTTTACAAACTTTTCTATGCATTTTTAGAGATAGAATATGACAACACCTTTTCAATTTTTATTGTCCTTTCGTGCTTTAAAAAATTAAATTATTTTCATTTGTTTTTATTGTGTGTTCTTTGGCCCCTCAATACAGAATGAGAGGATTAAAACAGAAGAAAAGAAGGCAGGTGAGTTAAAACATACTGAGAAGACTAAAAGGGAAGAAGAGAAGGAAAATGACTTGAAACAGTTTGAGAACATCAAAAAGGAAGAAAAAAAGATACACGACAAAGAGGTTATCAGATATATTAAAGAGTTGGAGGACAAAAATATGGAAAATTCAAGATTGAAGCAAGAACTAGAAACAATGAGAAAAAAATATGAAGTGCAATTTTCACAGTTGGAAGCAAAAATTGATGAGACAAAAAGAGTAGATGAAAAAGTACTTATTAGATATGTTGAAGAGATAGAGTTCAAAAAAATAGAAATTTCAACTTTGAAGCAAGAACTAGAAACAATGATAAAAACAAAAGAAATACAACGTTCACCATTGGAAGCAAAGGGTGAAGAGGAAAAAAAAATAGGTGACAAAGAAGTTATCAGATATATTAAAGAGTTGGAGGACAAAAAAATGGAAATTTCAACATTGAAGCAGGAATTGGAAATAATGAAAAAAACAAAAGTACAATGCTCATCATTGGAAGCAAAAGGTGAGGAGGAAACGATAACAAGTGACAAAGAGGTTGTTAGATATGTTAAAGAGTTGAAGGACAAAAAAATGGAGATTTCAACCTTGAAGGAAGAACTAGAAACAATGAAAAAAGCATATGAAGTGCAATGCTTGCAGTCAAAAGCAAAGGCTGGGGGTGAGACAAAAATAGATGACAAAGAGGTTATTAAATACGTTAAAGAGTTGGAGGACCAAAAAAGGGAAATTTCAACATTGCAACAAGAACTAGAGACAATGAAAAAAGCATACGAAGTACAATGTTCAAAGTTGGAAACAAAAGCTGAGGAGGAAAAGAAAGCGGGTGACAAAGAGGTTATTAGATATATTAAAGAGTTGGAGGACAAAAATATGGAAATTTCAACATTGAAGCAAGAACTAGAATCAATGAGAAAAACATATGAAGTGCAATGCTCACAGTTAGAAGCAAAAGTTGAAGAGGAAAAGAAAGCAGATAAAAAAAATGTTATTGGATATGTCAAAGAGTTAGAGGACAAAAAAATGGAAATTTCAACAGTAAAGCAAGACCTAGAAACAATGAAGAAAACATATGAAGTACAATATTCACAGTTGAAAGCAAAAGCTGAGGAGGAAAAACTAGCATATGACAAAAAGGTTATTGGATATGTTAACGAGCTAGATGACCAAAAAAGAGAAAATTCAACATTGAAGCAAGAATTAGAAACAATGAAGAAAACATATGAAGTACAATACTCACAGTTAGAAGCAAAAGTTGAGGAGGAAAGAAGTGCAAATGACCAAAAGATTACTAATTATGTTAACGAGCTAGAGGACAAAAAAATAGAAATTTCAACATTGAAGCAAGAGTTGGAAACCGAGAAAAAAACATATGAAGTACAATGCTCACAGTTGGAAACAAAAGTTGAGGATGCTAAAGGCGAATTGAAACAAAAATCACAAGAATATGAACATCTATTGGAAAAACTAAGGAATAAGGTTATAGAGAATGAGGCCATTTTTGAGTCAAAATATCATAAGTGGACCATGAAAGAGAACCAAATACGAAAATCTATGAATTTTCAATTTAGTTACCTACAGGTAAGCTTATATATATAGGTGGATAAATCTTATTACTATGATGTTAAATATTACAATTTTCTAATGAACTTCCAAACATCCAGAATTTGAAATTGTCATGGGAATCCATTAAGCAAGATGTTATGAAAAAGCAAAACATTTATTCTGAGGAATGTAATCGATTAGGTAGGCCTTGCTATATTACATGTCACTTTTATGTTTCCCTCACCCTCCACCTTCTCCTTTTTTATTTTGGATGGGGTTAAGCTTTGATCACTATTTTGTAACTTGTCTAGGTGTAAATCTTAAACCATTAGTGGATGCAGCTGAGAATTATCAAATAGTTCTTGCGGAAAATAGAAAATTGTTCAATGAAATTCAAGAATTAAAAGGTGACATTATATGTGTTTGTCTAACGGGTAATTAATTTAGGTGTATTATGATTCACATGAAACTTTTCTTTAATACAGGAAATATCAGAGTGTACTGTCGACTTAGACCATTTCTTCCTGGACAAAAGGAAAAACAATCAATTGTGGAACACATTGGTGAAAATGATTTGGTTGTGGCAAATCCTGCCAAAACAGGAAAAGATGCCCTTAAAACATTTAAGTTCAACAAGGTCTTTGGTCCAACCTCAACTCAAGGTTTTTGCCTATATACTCACCATTTTACCATTATGCTTTGAATGGAAGAACCCTTTTACATTACAATAATACTTGTGTATGCAGACTCAAATCTCTTGATATTTGAATTTTTTGACATTCTAATGTTGTGTTGATTTTTAATACTCTAAATGATGCAGGTGAAGTGTATTCTGATGTACAGGCCTTTATACGATCAGTACTAGATGGATTTAATGTATGTATATTTGCTTATGGCCAGACTGGTTCAGGGAAAACCTACACAATGGTATGCAAGCTTCTATCTATAAACAATCTTTTCTTTCTCATTCATCATGTTAGTTAAAGGAACTCTTCATTCTATAAGATGCCATTATTTCTCAGAGTGGTCCAAATAATGCAACACCCGAGAGTGTTGGTGTTAACTATCGAGCTCTTAATGACCTCTTCAGCATATCCACAAGTAGAAAAAGCTCCATAGTATATGACATTGGGGTACAAATAATTGAGATATATAACGAACAAGTGCGCGATTTGTTATCAACTGATGCTTCTGCAAAGAAATATCCTTTTTCAATTGCCGCAAATAGTTTATTGTTTTCATGGATTTCCTTCTTTTAGATTTTTTTTCTTATTTTGATTTTTTTTTACATGAAGTATATCATGTTTATATGACTTATGATTTCCTTGATTTGCACACACTTGGGATATTGAATCACTCTCAACCAAATGGTTTAGCAGTACCTGATGCTACCATGTTGCCTGTAAAATCAACTTCAGATGTTATTAAGCTAATGGACATTGGCCTAAAAAATAGAGCCAAGGGTTCCACTGCTATGAATGAAAGAAGTAGTCGTTCTCATAGGTTTGTCTTTTCACTTCCCTAACAATTCAACAATGCAGGTTTTCTAGTATTATGATGACTTTGAATAAACTTGTGTACACAGTGTGGTCTCAATTCATGTTCGTGGGGTGGATCAAAAATCTGGTTCCTCCCTTCATGGTAATCTTCATTTGGTAGATTTGGCAGGAAGTGAAAGGGTAGATCGCTCAGAAGTAACTGGGGATAGACTTAAGGAAGCACAACATATTAACAAATCACTATCTGCCCTTGGAGATGTTATTTTTGCACTTTCTCAAAAGAGTTCTCATGTACCATACAGAAATAGCAAGCTTACTCAACTTTTGCAATCATCTCTTGGTAAAATTGTTGTTTATTCACTTCTTATTACCAACATGCCTTGCCAGTATCCAACAAAAAGTGGAAAAATCCTTGAGTTTGCTTTGTAGATTTTGGACTTGCTTTACATCTCACCTTTTCTAATTAGATAGGATTCGATTTGAAACATGTTTTTGATTTTATTGCACAGGTGGTCAAGCAAAGACACTCATGTTAGTTCAAATTAATTCAGACATTAAGTCTTTTTCTGAGTCTTTGAGTACTTTGAAGTTTGCTGAGAGGGTTTCTGGCGTGGAGCTAGGAGCTGCTAAAAGTACCAAAGAGGGCAGAGATGTCAGGGAATTAATGGAGCAGGTGATTAACTTGATTAAGATGGCTATGTTACTTTTCTTTAAATTAGAATATGAATGCATCAAAAGTTTTTCAGTTGATCTAGTATCTATCTTCCTTTCTTTTCATTATCTCTCCCTTATAATATATAAGTAATTCAATTATGTTGTTACTCTATACTATCTATGTAGAAAAAGAACTAGTTCAATTTGCTGACCAAGTCCAAGTTAGAATATCTTATGAATTGTTTAAATTGTAGACTACTAGTTAATGACATTTCTTATAATGAGTTGAATTTGCAAACAACTAGTTTAACTTGTTTAAATTTTATATCTGAGCTTTCAGGTGGCTTCTCTTAAGGACACTATTTTAGTTAAAGATGAGGAGATTGAGAAACTACAGTTACTTAAGGATCTAAAAAATGTTTATCCTGGTGCCAATTCTGAGAGGATTGAAGCTGCCTCGGAATAATGAGTTGTGAATTTTCTTTTTCCAATCAAAGGTTCATTTGGGGCGAGAAATCACAAATCATAAAATAAAATTAATAAGAACTTTGAAGGTGAGGTTATGATTTGCATATGCAAATTCTGATTGAAGATCAAGTGAAGTGGCATTTCTCACTATGGCCTTACTCCAGAACATATACCGATGATTCTTCTAAAAAGCCCATTCTCTATGAGACACACAATCATAAAAAAAAATAGAGAAATAAATTGTGCTTATGTTGATATAGCTTTCACCATTGTTGTGTATATATATATATATATATATAAACTTTGCTTCTTAGAAACACTATTTATAAACGCTTTAACTTTTTTTACAAAATTTTTATTTCAGATATTTAAAGCAACTAGGAATTTGGCACATTATAGCTTCATAACTATAACAGTAAAGTAAGAGACAATAGTTAACATCTCATTCATTATATTTTCACACGCATACAAACACATTAGATATACATTCATTTTTTGTTTTATATATTAAATGTAAATATATAATTGTTTTTATTATTTTGGCCCTTGATCACAACAATTTTTTTTGGATATATTGTAACCAATTTTGACTTTGTAATGATCATTTGAGGTTTGATTTTTTAACCTCAAATAAGTCACACATGCAAGACTCTTACTATCAATGATAATTAGGTTTTTGTAACCATGTTATTACTGTGAAATATCTATTTACTTTGTTAATGTTTTTAAATTTTTTTCTTATATTTGGACAAAAAAAATAGATAATTACTTGCAAAAAAAATTACAGGTGTAGGTGTGGGTTTGGTTACAATGTTCACTTATATCTACATTTATATATTTTATAATAAATGTATTATCTTTTCTATTAAAATATAATTTATTTTTATTAAACGCAACAATTTTGTTATGTTAGTTTGTAAAAAAGAAACACATCAATGAAGTATGGGATTAGCAGGTTCGGCTTCACAGTAAAACAAATCAAACACTTGTTCTAAGCCTAAAATAATTGACCAAAAACAAAGGGCCTAAAAATATTTTTAATTATTAATATTTTCTTCTCAAAAACAAAAGTAAAATAATATATTAATTAGTTGATTGGTAATATTAAGAATAAATATTTTTCTCTTAAAAAATAGAACACTCATTTATTATATTTTCAAAATTAATAATTATTTTAATCTTGACTATATATATATATATATATATATATAATTTTAATTGCCTACTAATTGCTGAAAAATGCTATGATTTTTCTAATGTTATCTCTTTTTCCCCAAATTCCATTATTCCAATATAAATCAAACTCCATTTAATAATTTTACGTATTCAATTGCAATCTTCTATTTCAATTCTCCTTTCTTTTTTGATGAATGACAGGGACTAAAAATAGCCCCAACAAGAATTTATTAAAAGCCTCTATAAAAGAATACGACCAGCATTATCAGCTGAACAAAACAGATAAAAACAAAGGAATAAAATTAAAAAACTTGAATATCTAAAAGTTCCTACAATCCATAGGCATCAATTGATCTATTTGCTTCTCAAAGAACATGACAGAAAATTACTTGCTTTCTTCCAACAAAATTCTTTGTCTAAAGTAATATTAAAACAATGGTGAGAATCAACACAACCCAAATTGATTAAATCAAATGCCAACTTAGAATCACTCTCCACAATTACTCTATCAACTTATCACTAAGTCCTAGCCAACTTGAATAGCCCAATGTTTACCAATAAGAATTTGGCAGATACCAATATACTTCGAAAACTCAAAACGAGAACCAGAATCCTGCAAAAAGCCACCACATGAAGCCTTCCCAATTTCAACTTTCAAACATGAACTCTAACTCTCTCTAGAACTTCCAACTTCCAAATATTGTGAAAAACTGGATTAGGAGAAACAAAAGTTGTTGACATACGTCTTGTTCATTCTGTGCATTTAAGTATTTACATACACGAACATTATTACTTGATAATAATTAACGAATATTTAGAGACAAGTAATCATTGAAACTTTCTACTCTGCTCTGTCCTTTGCATTGTGTTCATAAATCCATAAGAACGTTCAAATACCTAAATTGAAACATTGATTGTGCTAGTTCGAGTAAAAAGAATCCTTAAAATGAATTCCACCGTAAACAGCCACCTACCATTTTCATTAGCAAAGTTTGAGATGAGCACACCTCTGTTCAAATCCATAGCATGTCCTTGAGCCACCGACTCAAGTTTCTGCCCATTAGGAACCCAAGAATTCTTCACTAGAGGCCAACACATAATAATTCCTTGCCAAAGATTTGAGCCCCCCTCAAAACATTCATATATGGAATAACTTTATGGCCATATTTGTATTTTGATCGAAAAAGTCAAACCCAAAAGAGCTTCATGATTTGTAACTAGCTGCCAAGCATTTTTCTTTTATCATAGAAGCTTAGTTTATCATTCTCATATCCTTGATTTCCACTCCACCATGATCTTTAGGTTGACAAAGGAATTTCCATTGTGTCAAATGAAATGTCCTCTTATCCTCTAAATCGCCCCAAACAAATTGAAGACACCGCTCATCAATTGTATCACAAATAGATTTTGGAAGCCAAGTTGGTTTCATCACATAACTTGGAAGAGCTTGCGGAATAGATTTTGTCAATGTCAATCTTTCAGCAAAAGTGAGTTGTCAAGATTTCCAAGAAGAAAGCCTTTGATTAACTTTATCAATAATGAATTGGTAAGTATGACGATTACCCTTCTTGTGAAGAATTGGAACCCCAAGATACTTACCCATATCATTCGTACGTTGAAATCCCAAGAGGCCACTATAATTTTCTCCTTACCTCGCCAAGAAACATTATTTAAAAAATAAACTTTAGTCTTATCATTACTGATTTCTTGACCAGAGCTATTACAAAAAATATTTAGCACTGTTTAATAACTTCCACTTCACTGACCTCGACCTTTCCGAAAAAAAAAAAAAAAAAAAAAAAAATACACCAGTTAGTGGCCTCTTGTGGTTAGATACACATCCAGTTAGTATAATCGGTTCAATTAGTGGGGCCTGTGAAGAGCATGAATTAGCCCTTCCTTTTTTCCCCATGTGTGTTTATATATTACAATTTTAAAAAGAAAAATTATAATCGTATGTATAACATTAGTTTTACTTTTTGAAATTAATATTATTAGTCAACTCAATTCAATTCTTGGTGTTACAAAAAAAATTGAATTTATTTCCCCAAGTTTCACTCTAAAAATCCCTAAATGGCTGTAGTTTGTTAACATTTGAAAAGAGTTTCAAAATGATTAATATTCTTTTTTTTAATGTAATATTAATAATTTTTTTCTTTTATAAAGTCTTTAACCATCACAATAAAAAATAATGTGTATTAAAATAATATTCAATTAGTAGAAGTCACATTTCGTGAATGTAAGTTAATCTATGATTATCAGTTTTAGAATAATGTGTGGATCATGTCTATTATAATGCCAAGGACTAAATTAAACGACAGTGCCATTCAATTTATTTATTTATTTATTTTGTATTTTTTATTTTTTATTTTCAGAGAAGAAATTGACTAGTTGTAGTAGTGTGGCTTAAAAAACACTAGAGGTATCAATTTAGGGAAATATATTGTTATTCCACTCTAAAAGTTATTGGCTTTTAGCATCTGGTTTAGTTATTTTCTAACTATGTCCGGCCCATTGTCTCTATCTTACATTAAGGGGGGTGTATTGGTTTAGGATTTCGTAGGATTTTAAAAGACTTTTTTTGAGTAAAAAAGTTCATTGGTATTCAATCAGGATTTTATGTCACTTAAAAACAATCCAGTGGTATTCAATCTGGATTTTTAGGATTTTTTAAAGAGTCCATTAAAATCCACTGGTATTCATTTGAGATTTTTTACAACTTAAAAACAATCCATTGGTATTCAAAAATTTAAGGATTTTAAAGGATTGTTGTGTGAGAGGGATTTTGAAAGACTTTATAGTGTTATCTATAAATACCAGATTCATAAAACAATCCCATCCAAACCCATCGGATTTTGAAGGATTGTTTGAAATGATTTTTCAAGTGTTTTAAGAATTTTCAAGTGAGTTTTTCATCTTTTTTTTCTATGCTCCTGTCTTCTCCATTTTTTCTCTACTAATAATACTACACTATTGTTCATTGCTCATATATAATACTATTCTCATACCATTCTCCTATTTTGTGAAACTCTAATATGTAAATGATAGTGTCATTGACTTGTTTTATTTTTCTGTTCGTTCTCTTTAATTGACTTACTTTATTTTATTCTATGTAGTTGAATTTGTTCCTTTATATAACACAAAAAAATACTTGAAATTTTAACTTTTAAGTGGTAATTTTTTTTATGACACACGTTAAGAAAAGAAAAAGGTGAAAGATGAAATTGATATCATAATCTCAACAATATATATATATATATATATATATATATATATAAAAAAGATGAATTTGTTAGGGTTTTTGTGAGTAGAATGAGATAAAAATGGATCTTAGTAGGGGGAAGAACCCTCTTAGCATAAAAATTGCGAATTCTCTCTTTCCCTTGAATTTGTTACTCTTATCCCTCCTCCTTTTATGACTCAACAATTATTTTATTTTTTTTACTATGAATTTTTCTTTTTTATTTTTATATTATGAAATTAAGATTTTTTATATTTTAAAAAAAGAAAATTAACATAAGACATTGCAATATCTAATTTTTTAGGGTTTAGGATTTATGCCTTCATTAACTTATTTTTTAAAAAAGAAAATATTGTTAAAATATTTGTTAGAATAATTTATATTTATAAATATCGTTAAAAATTATCATATATATATATATATATATATATATTCTCTATATCTAAATACTTCTGTTTATATAAAAAAAATTATATATCTAAATATTTTTTCAGTATCGAATATACTAATTTTTTTATATAAAAAATTATCTTATGTTTCTATATTTTCGTTTTTACATTTTTTTTATAATAACTGAGGTATTTGATCCATTTGGATAGCAAAAATATATTCGATCTTGTATGATGGTGTGCTTCTAAAAATAATAATATAATTTTATTGATTTTGTCTATTATCCGTAATTATTTATATAACTATTTTTTAACATATATTGTTTTAGTAATTCAAATGGGAGATTCACAAGGAAATAATAAAGAAAAATGAAAAGAGAAAGAAAACTATGAAGCTTGGATTAAGGATGATTCCGATGAATTGTTACAATTGATAGTGGATGCTATAAAAAGAGGATAGAATATTATAGAGAATTATTATTATTATTTATCTAGACATTATTTTTTTTATTTATTATTTTTATCTTTGACTCTTTTTAAATTTGAATGTATAATTTTTTTTAAATCTTATCAAATGTCAAAACTCCACAAAATCCCACAGAATCCATTAAAATCCTAATTTAAAAGTCTTGCAGAATCCATTAAAATCCTGATTTTAAGTCTTGTAGAATCTTGCAAAATCTTAAAAGTCATGAAAATCCTGCAAAGTCTTTTAAAATCCGCAGGATTTTTTTTAACTAAAAAAGTTCTTTAAAATCCTAATCCAATACACCCCCCTAAATCTAGGTCAAATCTAACTTATTTTTTAGATAAATGTAGTCAAGACTTTACTTTTTAAAATCTATTTAGGCTGCCTTTAAATAGATAATTTAAATACATCATCAACTCACTTTTATCGAATGAGACATGTTTTACTTTTAAATTATAAGATATATATTACAAAGGAATATAATTTAATTTGTTGAATAAAGTGTAAACCTGCTTATATTGAATTCAACTTTTAAGAATAAAAAAAAATTAAGAGGGTTATATAATCTTATAATATTATAAATAAAAAATAATGTATCAAATTTATATTATAGACATGTTTATTATTATATAATTAAAATTTTATAATAAATTATATATAAAAATAAATATTATTTAATTATATAAATTATATTTAAAATTTGTATAAATAGATATTTATAAGAATATAAAATATATATTAAATTTATGATAAATAATTAATTTTGTAACATAATATTATTATTATTTATATATAATTTATTTTAAAAATATTAAAATATAATTTATAACTAATTATGATAAATAAAAATTAAATTATATAAGAAGTTAAAAAAAATCTGAAAAATATCCTTTAAAAAAATTTCTAAAAATATTATTGCATAAGATAAAAATTTATATTTAATGTATAACAGCTTATCTATTGTTTCTCTCACAATCCTTTCCTTTATAAGGTTTAACTCACTATAATATATTCTAAATATATTTTTATTATTTTCTAATTAAAATTTCATTTTATGAATTGTACATAAAATGTAGCATAAATGTATTATTATTTATTGTGGTAAAACTTTAACTTTGATGAAAAATAATTTGAAGATAAGTTTTTTATTATTGAAACAAGCTTTAAAAAAATGGAAAAAAAAATATCACAAATCACTTTTTAAAACTCAAAAATAGTTATTGTAAAAATAACTAAAAAAAATCTTTTAAAAGTCAAATTTTAAATAATTTAAAAAGCCTTTTAGATTTGACGAACTAACTTTTTTTTAAAATAATAATAATAATAATAATAATAATAATAATAATGTTATTATTGTATCATTAAAATTTTACTATAATTGAGAAAACATATTAATAGATATTTATATACAAATATTTAGATAATTGATTTTTATTCAATAAATACTTAATTAAGTTATTTATTCAAATACTCCATTGTTCACATAATTAATTATATTAGTCGGTACAATAAAAGTGAGTAATATTTTAAAGACTTAAATATGTCTTTAGTCTTTCAAATTTATGATAAATTTATTTTTGGTCCCTCAAATATAAAATTATTGTTTTTAGTCCTACAATTTCAAAAAATATTATTTTAGTCCTTATATTCAAATTTTGTTAAGAAATTTATCAAACATTATTTATAAAATCTACTTATTAGTGTCTTTGTTAGTGAAAACATCACATTAAATCTAATTAATATTGTATAACCATCTTAATTTTTCATTTTCAAATATGTTAATAGTGATCTGAGGGATTAAAACAAGATTTTTAGGAACTAAAAACAACTGTTTTAAATTTGAGAAAAAAAAAACAAATTTATCTTAAATTTAATGGATTAGATTAAATTTAAAGCATGTTTATGCTTATTTTAAAATTTTGAGATACGAGTAAAGGGTAACTTCGTTCTTAATTAATAATTTCATTTGAATATTTTTATTTATTTTAAAATAAATTAAACTTCTCTTTATTTTTTTTTTTATCAAATATTCTCTGTTTCTCACTCTACTTCATTCCTTTTTTTCATTTCTTACTTCTTTTTTACTCTCTCTTATTTCATCCTCTCCACCTAACAGGTTAAGAATGTCGACTAAAAATTCTTAAATGTTGTACAACTAATTTATTTGAACATGTCTATTTTCAAAACTGATTCAAATAAGAATCACAGACATTCATATTCATATTGTAATTTGTGACCGTTATTATCATAGTTTTAAAAACTGGACCGGTCATCGAACCGGTTAAAATACTGGATCAGTGGGTCAAAGGTTGAATCGGTGAATCACTAGTTAAACCGCATGACTCGATTTTTATTAAAAAATATTTATATTAAATATATTTTATACTTATAAATTTTAATAAATTCATATCTTATTTTAAATTTCAATTTTTCTATCTTATTTAAAATTATTTTTATTTTTATTTTGTAAAAAAATACATAAAAAAATTACATGTTAAATGGTATATTAATATAAATTAAAAATATAAATAATATGTACACATATAATATGCTTGCAATTAATATCACAAAATAATATATGTAATATTTACATAGATATTGCATTATTAAATATATAATTTAAAATTAATAATATACTATAAAAGTTATTTAAGTTGTATATATTGCAAACAAATATATTAGAACAAGTAGTCATTGTTATATTTAATAAGACTCCTTGCTTTTTCATTAAGAGATTCAATTTTCATTATTATTTTTGTGATTTATGGTCCCTTAAAAAAATTTAAAAAAAAATAAGAAAAAAAAGTGGTTGAACCGGTTTGACCCACCGGTTCACCGGTTGAACCGAAAAATTGACCGGTTCAATCCGGTTTGAAATGGGTCGACTGCATAACCGATCCAACTTCAGATTCGAACCGGCTGGACCATCAGTTCCCGGTCCAACCGGCCGGGTTGGTCCAGGTTTTAAAACACTGGTTATTATAATATTTTTATTAATAAAAAATATTTACGTTCATAGTTTTTTTTCTTCATCAATAACTATTTCATAAACGTAAGTAGCCGTTCTTAAAATGCTATGTAACACAAAACGTGATAACGTAATAGTGCATTGTAAAAGGCTGTTAAGTATTATGGAAGATCACTTTGAAATTTTTGAATGTTGCCAATGCTAATTATGAACTTTAAAACCTTTTATTCAGACATAATTGTTTAATAATATTAATATATACTATTTTTTTACACCAAAATATATCCTAGTTAAAGTATACATGAATACGAAGTCATGTTTATAAGTACATATCAATTTTTAATCGTCAATTTTTGAATATTACGTAAATTATATTTATGAATAAAAAAGTGTACATAAATATATAAATCACTATTTTGTTATGCTATATAAATATTTGAAAAAAAATTATAAATATATTTCAATTAACATAAAGGCTGCTTATTGGATGCTCATTTCATGCACATAAGATTTTCAATTAATTAAAGTTTATTAGTTTTATTAGGTACACATTTTATATGTGATTCATTTTAGAAAAAATAAATTTGACGATACATAAAAAGCAAAAAAAATCTTTATTTAAGAAAAGAACATAACTATCAAAAGAGGCCAAAAAAAATTATGAAGGGATAGTTGAACACAAAAAGAATATAATTAATGTAATTAAATTTTTTTTTAATTAAAAAAATCATTTCCTCTATAGTATAGTAATTTATCTTTTTAAAAGCAAGTGCTAGAGTTTCTTTCCTCCATTTTTTTTTTTTTTTATATCTATAGGTGCTAGAGTTAATGTGATATTTTTGGTATGAAATTGGATTTGGAGGGATAAAGAAAAGGAACAACTATGTAAGTCCATTGTCGCTAGGCTTGCAATTGCACCGATCTCATCACACACACAAACACACGTAGCTTGTATCTTTCTAATAAGGTGATAATGACAAGTTGTTAGAATGAAAGTTGATCATTCAACCCTAATAATTTAATGCAAAATTTTCTTTTCCCTCAGAAATTTCTTCCCATGCCGTATGTTACAATTACAACTAGCAAGCCAACGCGCTTATTACTACTGAAGGAGAATGCCCCACGCAACTTCTCAAGTCACCTTAGCTTGGCCTTATATAATTATTTATATAATATAGTATAATGAATGCATCATATCATATCAACCATCACCCACCAAACAAACCCTTATGCATGCCACCTTCTCCTTAACCACTTTCCATCCATCACAACAAAGTAACAAGCACACGTTTCTGCATTTGTGCTTGTCACACCCCTTATACCCCACATTCTCACACCCTTTCACACAATCCCATAGGCACCTCTTCACATCATCAAATAGTTATCCATATTATTCTATTCTTCAAATAATAATAATATAGAATAGTCCATCTAGTATCTATCAAATGAAATTTTGGGGACAATGATTTAAATAATACTAGACAACAGCCCCCCAAAGCTGACCATATCACACCCTATGAAGCTTCCTAAGATTCTCCTAAAATGTTACAATTGTTTCTTTATTATTATTAATTATTTTTTTCTGAATGAACTGGAGACCATGTATAAATAATAATATTCAACCTTGCCTTTTGGTCGTGATAGCATAAGGAAGTATGAACAATATTTTTCTTTTATATTATCAAATAGGCGACACCTGAAAACAGGGCACCCACAAAAAATATATTTTACAAGATTTCCAAAGATAAATCCTCAATTTCCTCCACATTACAATTACAAAAGGAGGATCTGAGTTTCAGATTACATAAAAGAAGTTACAGACTCTCCATGAAACTCACATGAAAGTTTCAATCCAAAGACCCCATCATATAAACCTAACAAGAGAGAAGAACAAGACTTTTGCTAGTCTTTTTCTTTCCCTTGATGTGTCCCCTTTTTATTATTCTTCAAAAAGGATGATAAAACTAAGAAAATAAAATCTCCACCATCTCTCAATTATACATCATGACACCTTAATTAACTCATGAACAACTTCCATAGACCAGTATATACATATAATACAATAAGATTGAAAATTAAGATTAGCTCCTCAGTCCCAAAAATCTCCTCTGCTCTTAGAACTTTGGTGATTCTTAAATCTTCCTCTGACTTCTTTTTCTTTGTTGTTTATTTTTTTTAAATCTTTGATTTAAAATAGAATCAGGCAACAGCAGAAATGCTGCAATTGCGCCTATCCCTGCTGAGGCAATCAAAACCTTCAATCCTCACTGCAGCTGGGGTGTGACCAAACTTCATCCTAACACAACCTCTAGCTGTGGAAGATGGTGAAGGGGGTGCCAAGGAAAATGGACCAAAACTCTCATTACCATTACCAAATTGCTCATCTTGGATCACAGGGTTTGAAGCCCTGCTAGGTGGAGATCCACAGAAAAATGGGGGTGATGATGCCACCTGGACCCCAGATCTCTCAGCATAGCACCCTCCCTGCACAAATTCAACCAATCTTTGCTTAGATTTACATGCCATAATCCTTTCAATCAACAACAATAACTACAACATCCAAGCCACATCATAGAAAAAACATCCTATTTGTTACATCTTCGACAAATCACATGAACAAACCAATTTTTTTATATATTTTTTTTCCTTGTATAATACTTTGGGGGGAAAATAAAAAATACTCTCTTAAACATGAAGATTAGGATAGAAAATAACCTTGGGAAGAATAATATCAAGAAGCTCAGCCCCAACTCCTGAATCTTCAAATTCTGATTGGTAGCTGTTTTAAGGCAAGAATATTAATTCTCAATTTTTACAAAATAAATTGTTTGAGAAAGAAAAAAACAAAATTGAAATTATGTAATTTAAAAAAAAATATAAAGTTAGGTGAATACTTGATGAAGGGTGGCCTGAAGGGTCTGATGTGGTTATCAAAGAGGCCCAATCTTCGAGGTTTAGGGCACACCACGGATTCCATCCTCATCTCCTCACAGCTTGTCAAGGCCTTCTTCTGCTGATAACCACACTGATTCATCTTTTGCTCTTTCCCTTTGCACCTCAACACCAAAAGATCTTGACAAGGAACACCTGCAACATCAAGTACAAAACAAAACATTCATTATTTTCATGTTTTCCCCTTAGGTTGCCGGCAAATCTGAACGAAATCAAACCAAATCTAACAAAATCATGAACTAACACAACAGAACAAAGAAATCCCCTTTTGTTTCAAGTTTTTTTTTTTTTTACTTTTTTCTTTTCTTCGCTGGAACCTAAACAACACGCCCCCAAAAAAAATTCAGAATTTGACACTTGTTGTGAAATACACAAAGACCCTTTTTGAAAAAGCCTTGAAATTTGAGACCTTGAACCCATGAAAATAAAAATAAAGGTAAACACCCTAAGCTCAGATTCCAAATCGATGCAGAAACACAAAATTTGAAGGTTTATTTAATTTTGTTGAGTACCTGAGCAGGCTCAGAGGCTCCTCTATGAGAAAAAAGAGGACAGAAAAATTGGGTGAATCAGAGGAGCAATGAGAGAGAGAGGGAGAAAGGTAGAGTTGGGTGGGTATTCATAGAAGACCAAGGGAAAAAAAAAAAGAAAAAAAAAGAAAAAAAAAAGAGAGAGTGATAGGATACAAGATGGTACAAATGATAAGGTGAGAGTGCAGTTGTGAACCGCGTGATTGATGATGAGTGTGGGTGGACTTTTACGTGGTGACGTGGAGTGGGAAAAGAGATGTGATCCGTTCTGATCCAAAGGGAAGGGAGAGAGAGTGTGTTTTTCCGATTTTACCCTTCGTTTCAATATTCATGAACCTATGCTATGGCTATGGCTATGTGTCCTCTTCTCGTACGGCTCATAACTAGCACCGCAAATTCAATGTGCTGTGAGCTGAGCTGATATCAATAAGCACAAACAAAGAAAGAAAGATGCTCTTTCCTAATCTCAGCAAACTTTTTTTTTTCCTTTTTTCTTTACATATTCATTATGCTTTTGAAAGATTAACTTGTTACCAAATCACAACTTTTGTGATGAGGCTACATTAATGAGATTTTGGCACGAATTAGAGACCTAGAATTTAATAGTCATGCGAAAATTAAATATTTTTACATTTTAAAATTCGAAATCATAATTATATAATTTTTAGTTATGTATTATTAAATAAACAATTTTAATATATATTAATTTGTTTGTAAGTTATGATTGAATGACAGTGTTTTAGGTAATTTATGAACATTACTCAAGTAAATGAGCTAAATTAACTTCGTAGTATATTATATACTTAAACTTTAAACTCATAAATAACAGTTAAGTATCCCGTGTTAATTGGTCAATACACTTGGTGATTTTATTAACTGTATTTCAATGCTTTATTATTGTTAATATTATTCAAATATCATAATTTATTATTAGTAAATATACTAGAGAGTATATCTCACAAGAATAATTATCATTTTAACGATATGAAAATTGTAAATTTAAGTTAAACAAAATATATATAGAGAGATAGATAAATAAATAAATGGATGGATAAATAGATACAGAGTTATTATCAAAATGAAAAATTAGTGATTACTTGATATTTTTTTTAAGTCATTAGCATGTATTTATTACCTTTTAATTTGAATTATGAATTAATTAGTCAAAGTAATATTCTTGAGAATAAATTAACTTTTTAATTATTAATTTTAAAATATGATTCATGTTTATAAATATATATTTTTTAAAATAAGTTTAAGTGAAATTGGTTCAATTCAACTTCTAGGATTTATTTAACTTGTATTTGATATGACTTTTTTTTTTTCCAATTCAATCCAAACCTGCAAATGGTCGGTTTATATTATTAGCATAAATTATATGAAGAACATTTAGTTTGACTTATTTTTATACTTGGTAATAATTAAAATTATGAATATAACGTATTTAAATCATTTTTATTTATACAGGACATAATTAATATGAACTTAATAATATAAAGTATATATTATTTAATAAATGTAAAATTAATTATATAAATTTAATAATATAAATAATCACATGAACTAAAAGTATTTTGATTTTTTATACTATTTTTTTTAAGAATAAACATTTTCAATAGGTTAAAAACCTCTTTTCGTCTCTTACATTGTTTAATATTTTCAATTTAGTCTCACTTTAATGTTTGGTCTCAATTTAGTCCCTAATAACTTAAATTAGTGCAATTTGGTACTTCTGTCCAAATGATTTAGACGGAGTTAACTGTTGGCCACGTGGCATCTACGTGGATGCCACGTGGATGCGCACGCGGACGCCAAAATTCTTGGAAAAACCTGAAACCAGAACGGCCTGTTCTGAAACTAGAACGGGCCCTTCTGATAGTAGAACGGGCCGTTCTGGTTTTAGAACGGGCCGTTCTGCTTTTAGAACGGGCCGTTCTGCTTTTAGAACGGGCCATTCTGAATTCAAAATGGCCCGTTCCAGAACGCCATCCTTTTTATTATATATATATTTTTATTATATCTATATTAATAAATATATAATAAATAAAAAATAATAAATTAATATTCATTTATGAATAAAACTATAAAAAAAAATCAAATAAGATAAGACTTTCTAAAATATTTCTTTGATTTGAATTTATCCAGTTCAAAATCTTGACTAAAATGTCTTAATGTATTTAAAAAATTGAAAATAAAATTCAGGGTTTAGGGGTACCTCCTCAAGAACAGGTTGTTATTGTTGGGGTACATCGTCAATGACTTTAAGGAAAAACATTGTTTCATTTTATCCTTGACTGTATAGTGAATTTGGTAGTAAGTAGTTTACTCCAGTTTGACTAACAATGAAATAAAATTTGTTATCATTGTCCTTAGTGATACACTGCATCATCCTTAATGATATATTGTATAGCCCAAATGTTTAGCGATTGGAGTTATTAATCCTTATTAACAATATTATTAAATCTAGTGTTTGAAATGCTTTGTATTTTTCCTAAAAAAAATGCTTTATACTTTGGTTTTTTTACGAAATTCTGGACCAGAACGGCCCGTTCTGGTTACACTGTTGATGTGTTAATTTTGGACCTGGAACGGGCCGTTTCAGGTACAAATTTTACACATCAATAATGTAGCCAGAACGGGCCATTCTGGTTCTAGGTGTATTCAAGTATTTTTGGATCCACCTACATGGTATCTACGTGACATCTACCTGGCATTCACGTGACCACCAATTAATTCCGTTTAAATCATTTGGACGGAAGTCCCAAATTACAACGATTTTAATTATTAAAAATTAAATTGAAAAAAAAATTAAAGCTGGACTAAATTAAAAATATTAAATAATGTAAGGAATGAAATGAGGTTTTTAACCTTTTCAATACTATCAGACATGACACCAATTACATGTTAAGATTGTTGTCAGTAAATGTTCACGTAAAAGATTACTACACATGTCTAAATTGCAAACAATTACACCTACACCCATGAAAAAGACGAAGAAAAATGATAGGTTGTACGTCCAAAACAATGTTCTAAAAATTATTCTGAATTATTAAAAAATTAATTTAAATATAAAATATTAAATTAAATAATTATTTTATAAAAAATTTATTAATAAATATTAATATTTTAATATTTCAGAGATGATTTGGAAGTCATTTAAAAAATATAACAATTTTTAAAGATGAAAGTTACGTCTAGATCTTTAATATTTGTGTCAATCCACGTTATTTAATATAATTTTAAATTTTTGATTATGTAAGATATATTTTAATTTTTAAATATAATTAATATAAAACTAATTACATGAATTTAATGATATAAAAAATATTTTTAATAAATGAATATGAAATTAATTATATAAAATTTAATATTACAAAATATACTATTTAATAGAGGGAAGGGAAGAGAGTTTTCATGAATCAAATGAGTGAAATAATGTATATAGTTCAAGTTTAATACATTGTTTTAATGAACTGGATCTTGAATTCAATCCTGCTCATTTTTTCCATGAACAATTAATAATTCAAAATACATTAATAGACGGATTATATATCTATCAAAGAAAACGAAAAAAAAATATTATTGGGAAAATAGATTCCATCAAAACGTGATTAACCAAATTTTTTTTTATATATAAATATTAATTATCAACAAAATTAGATGATATTTCATATCATTACATATAAATCATAGGTTAATATTAAGGCTGGAGTGACGATTTTTATAATTTTTTATCTTTTAAAAAATATCAATAATACGATGATAAAAAAAATTAATGATGTAAAATAAGTTATTGGCTAGGTTTAAATACCATTATTTTTCTCTATAAAAAAAACATCATTATTTTTTACTAGAATCATATTTAAACTTCAGTTTAATCCTTTGTAATTTTCTTATTTCAATATCATTACTATATAATCACAAACAACATAAATGATGACGTTCCTTTGTAATAATAGAGAGAATATCCCCATGCTGTAAATAAAAACAATATATAAAACAAACTTAACTACAAAGGAGGATCCTGCCATTATTTCATTTATATTTGCTACATGATCATGATACAACTATATCGAATAGAATATCTTATTCCTTTCACGACTCCAATAAACTAAATTATGAAAAAGAAAGTCTAGGATGACAAAACAAGATCGATTTAGTTAACTTGTGTTAACATTTTTTTTTCTTCTTTTTTTAACTGATCAATGAACCGGAAAGGAACTATATAATAACACGTTTTGGCCATCTCAATCGTAGAACTGGTCGAACAATGACAATCATTAGTCAATACAACAGATATTAATTACTTTGTGTATTGAACTTAACAATTCTAACAATCGAAATTAATCGAAGTAATTGAATTATGTGATTATCGCATTCTCATACTGATGAATCCAAACCGATTTTAAAAACTATGGTATAGAGGACACAATCCACTTATATACTTAAAGAGTATGCAATATTATATAATGTCTCGTGTACGTAACACAAGGAATCGTACAACTACCAAATATTAGAGATAATATTTATATAAATATGTTGTTTGTATGTTTGTGATTCATTGATTGAATTCGATCCCATCGATTGCAATGGCCGGCTTATTAACATGTATGAACATATATATGTGTGTAAAATATATATATTACGAGAATGTCTATGTATTGTACATATAAAACAATAAAACATAAGATTATTCAGTTGAACATGTAAAGAAACCTTTACCTGCCCTATATAATAGCCATATACGAGCTCTAAATCGGTGAAGTAACATGAGAATTGAGAGCAAAAGACACAAAAGATAAAAAGCAATTCTTTATTAAAAAAATACATTTGGCACTCTCCAACAAATTTTCAACTATAATGTAGACATATGCTAAATTGCTAAAACATAAAAATCAAAATGCAGCAGAATCTCTTATCTACAAAACCGAGGCCACCATCATCGCAAAAATTAAAGGCAGAAAAAGTAGCATTCGTGCTTTGTTTAAAAATCACGCATAAAATAAAACATGTTCCCATATTTTTGCATAAAATATCTTGATGCTTTCAATCGATAAATACGTTGTACCCACAAACATTACCTGCGTGTTTGTTTCCACTTTCCACGTTGTTGATATGCAT